ATCAATTTTCCTGCGATGGTAGCGAAGACTGTTCCCATTGCTTTCTTTGAATAGGTATAATATTGAAGTAATAGTCTACTAAAACCACAAACTTAAAATTGAAGTTCGATACAAAAGAAACAGGTCTAGCTTAACTTACAATAAATACCTAATACATTTAGGTTGGAGTTTCACTTTTTTTTTTAATGCATTGTTACACACACTGGTTTCAATACTTATACAGCTACTCACTCTACTTACAAGGCAAGAGTTTCACTGATAGTAATTACACCTTCATTTAAACTCGTCATGAAGACCAACGAGTCTCGTAAAACGGTTCACTACGCGAATTTTAGTGTGTTACTGTGCCGTTACGCTTCATATCACATCAGCGCAATATATGCTTTAATTCACCATTACATCTTACATTCCAAGCGTAATCATAGCGATCCAGAAGCTCGTTCTCTAGGTCTTCAGCAGTCTTCCTATCCGGGGCACTTTTAACGCGAAACCACAACTCGTATCCCTTGGTCAAGGCGTCGTTTATAAGATCTGCTTTGTGAGATCCATTAGTGCAATATTCTTTAACTCTATCTCTCAACGATGATTCAGGATGTACAGTGTAGGTACTTCCAATGTGCACCGCGATCTTCGTCTCGTTCCATTTCTCGACTTTTCTTGCCTGCCATTCGTAAATACCATATCCAGATCCCACATCATAGTACAGACCGGGAGCAGTTGCCAAAATCTCCCTAGATTCCTGCGTCCATCCATTTGGCCTTTGAGTAGAAAACTGGGGCTGTTGGGCGGCCTGAGGTACCATAGCCTTCACCCAGTCGGACCATCCGTGCCGAAGAAGAGGAGATGCTGCTTCATTAGCATGTTCTCGAGGAAAGCGTGGACCAGGAATCGGATTCATGTTTCAACTCCAGCGTAATTTTGTAGCGAGATCAACTTAATGGCTAAAATAAAAATTGACATCTGTACCACCGCGAGGTCACGTGATTAACACGAAATTGACTGGTTAACAAAACTAAACCAATCAGCTGCATTTCTCCAGCCTAATATCTTCGCAATTGTTTTGCAGTTTAAATTTTCTTGGAAAGCGGGTCATTTTGAAGTTAGCGGCAAGCTAGAAGAAAGTGGCGTCGAGCAAGCTTTGTTCTCACCCAGTTCTCTGATAGGTAACGTCAGGAGCATATCGACAGTGTCATAATTTGATCATGTCTGATAACAGATTTCTGACGCAAATTTGGTCAAAGCAGTGTTTAAATTGTGACTAAGTTCCTTCCCTCGTCCGTGAAATGCTTCCAGACATCAAGATGAATATGAATATGTTGAAAGGGAGAGTAATTTGTTATTACTAGTTATTTTTTTGCGATTCTTTCAAGACAACGTGAAAAATGTTAAAACATCTACCAGGATTTTTTTTTCGACATCGCAATCTTGCGCATGCGAAACCCACTTTAACACTCTTCTTATAGCTCCATCCAGTGCACAGATATAGTAATGTTTCAACTCACCTAGACCCTTCTTTTGGTTTTCATCAAGGAAAATATTCTTTAAAGGTTTTGACTTTTCAAGTCATACCCATGGTCAGGTCAGGTCCTTAAACCTAAATCACGACTACAATTTTTTCTATTATCATTCAAATTATCCTCCTACTAGCTCTTATGACAGGTTCCAAACCTCTCTTAGCATGAACTTTTCACGCTGCGTTCTATTCTTTGCACAACAGCTGGTTCCACCACTGGACGCTACTTTGTATTTCTCGAACTGACACTCAAACTAAACTAAACAAAACAAAAAACGATAGCCAAACGCAAAGTATTTTCATTGAAAATGAAAGGAAAAAAGTTGGAGTAAACCTAAATAGGACTGAACTTGTTGTAAGCATACTAAGTTACGTTAAGTTTCTTGTCCATCTTAACATGGAGATAACAGTTATTCAGTCCTTTTCAAAGAAGAAACACTTACATGAAACTATAACATGTAAAAGATTCCAACCTTTATTCAGCCGGAATATCTGTTTGATAAGTTCAGAACTTTTTAGAATCCTGGTATCATGGTGTAGGAGAGAAACACGTCACATGTGCAAAGGTCGGAAAACAACGAGTACAATATTCGTGACACAGAAAACCATGATATTGAATTATTGCAGTTTCTAGGAAATGCCCGGTGTTTTTCATCCCTAGCAATGTTACTAATGCTATCATTGTGAATTAGGTACCTTTCTGTATATTTATTTGGATCTCAATTTTAAACTGTGGGTCAATGCTAGCAAGAAAAATGACTAGTTTTTATTATGAAGACAATTCTCAAGCTGATTAAGGGTGAGGCAGAAGTTCTCGTTTTGCTAACTCTGTTATTATGCTTTGATTTAGAAAATGGCGAAGGTAAGATTTCTCGTCATTCATTTAACAATTGACTCATTAACTCATCATCCAGTCATTATATCATATATTTTGATCTATACATCCAGATTTTTTAATCCGCAAAGGGATCCAACACCGCAGAAGTCAAAGAATAAAATGGAAATAAATGTAAGTAAATCCGTAATGAAATAAAAAATAGATGAGAATGGCCCTAAACGCCTCAACACTCGGTTGTTCTGTCACTTCAGCAGGAAGTGAGTTCCACTAAAGTATAGTTCTTTCATCAAAACTGAATGTGTAAGTATTGTTCGCAGGGTGTTAAATGTGTGAATTTCATGAGATGATACTGTCTAACCTAATATACTGTCTAGATAAAACACTAGCCTGTTTGGAAGTAAACCATGGGAGGGATCGATTCGGTTGAAGGTTGAACCCAGGAGCTCATCACGCGGAGCCTCCATCCGCACTATAACGTACTGTCAACCCTTTCCCGTATCATTCTTTTCTTAGAACTGTAATTGGCACAAAGGTCTCTTGGTTTCCCACGAAATATCCTGTTTCTGCAGAAAGAAAATGCAAAATAGAGTGCAAAAGTGGGATCTCCGTCTTTGTTGTAACAAAGAATGGTCTCAGCTCGGCTGTCATTGGGTATTGAAAAGTGGCCGTGTAAAAATTTCCACAAGAGCTGTTTCTAAAAATACAAAGAAAGGGCAAAGGGTTGGCTCAAAGGGTTAGTCAAGGAGTTGGAGGCTCCGTGTAATGCATATGGACTCCTGGTTGAGCCACCTTTTATACCATGTCGATGAGTACTGCATGTAACTAAGTAAGTAAAGTCTTTATTTAACGAGGGTAACACAAAATAGTGTGTACATGTACTAATAAACTAGTGGCCCTCTTACAGGATAATAAATATACTAGAATTAAGATTTTCACAGGTAAAAATTACTAAAAATCTGAAAAACTATATGAAATAAATGTAAACACACGATAAGATATTTGTAAGGTAAAATGATCAAGAGACTGCTAATCTTTAAAAATCATTTTCCAAAGAGAATATATGATAAATGTAGAAGTGTATTATGTCGTACAAGATGATCTTATCACAGTAAATGGTTTGAACCCAGGAGTATCAGTAGTTCGTATAGTGTGATCNAAAACTAATGAGTCGTACTTTCAAGCGGCACTCTCTTTTATATGACTCAAGACGATTCGTATGGGTAATCAAATGGTGACGAGTGAAATTAGGAAATAATTTCACGCGCATTTTAAGGCGAGGGAAATTATTAGAATTTGGATAAAGCGCAAGTGAAATTATTTCGTAATTCACGAGTACACAATTTGATTACATTTTAATAACATGGGTGACAAATTACACCTAAAATTATGGGTTGTTGACTTGTTGGTTGTAAATTTCGCGCAAAAATTAAGGTGTAATTTGTCACCCATGATATCATAACTCTAGCTAGCGCTCTTTGTTATTTATCTTTAACTGACTTAATTTGAACGAGTATAAGAGTTATAATAGGCTAAGCTTTCTAGTGGCGCTATTCATTCAACCAAAAATTCCGAAACCTTTGAAACAGGGGCAATTGGTACGGAAATTTCCTGAAAGAATTCCCGGAAAATTCTTAAATACGAACCATTCAACTGCAAATTCCGAGTAATAAGTCAAATAGAATTGAAATCCCGGGTAAAAATTTTCGAAAATGTGTCCACAGCTCGCAAGGTTGTCCTCTTTTAGGGAAATTCCGCAAAATGCTCTTTTATTCGCCTTGACGGAAATTCAAACCGTGTATTTTGGTGAAATGGAAAGCGCCCTGTGAGTACAGTGTATATGTAGTCAAATTTCAATTAATCAGAACAGTGAACTCTGCAGGCTCATTTTGATGCTGTAGCCATGGTTTGAGAAGATCTTGCCACAACCCTGACACAAATAGGCTCACGTGGCACTAAAATGGTGGAAGCGTGCAACTTGATGGTTTCGGTAGTACCCAATCCCCTCTCAAATTTCATTTTCCGCAGAATTTTAACCAGCGCCAACTTCATTTCAAGTTGAGCCATTCTTATGCCAATGCACTGTTTAGGACCCAGGCCAAAAGGTAAGTAAGAGAAGGTTGGCCGCTTTTCGGCAACTTCAGGAAGGAAGCGATCTGGATCGAATTTCTCAGGCTGCAAAAGAAAAGCACTCTCTAATTAGCATGGTTTGGCTCTTGATTTAATTTTTGTGCCTTAAGCAAAAGAGAACATTTCCAAGCTTTTTTTCCTCTGTGGAGTGTGTGTGGTATTGTTCCAAGTTTATGTGGCACCTAGTGATAGCCAGGTACTGTTTCCTGTCATGCTGTCGGTGTTATTCCAACGCAAGTAATCAGCACTTCCTGATTGATACTGCTGATTTGTCCGCCATATCTCTGGTGTGGTAGAAGCAAAGTGTCTTATTCGAAAACACAGCCGGAGACTCCGGCCGGAGATCAAACTCAGACCACTTGATCTAGAGTCCGATCCATGGATTATTTTTCCACGACACCCTGCATGTTCTGATCTGTGGCAACCGCTTTCGAAGGACTGGAAACCAGCCATTGGGAAGAGGTTGACTTGATGGATTAAGATATAGCTGTTTGGCACAAAGAGAACAATACATGGGCGCGCGTAGATATGGAATTTCTCTTCAAGTGTTCAGCTCGATATCTCACGATAACACAAGAAGAGAAATCTACAAGCAATCATTCATTATTTTGTTTATTATATAAACATACTAATTACGACCTGTAATAACGACGTGTTTGACGATTTTCCGAAGATTTTCGACCACCTTCCGAAGATTTTCGAAGATTCTCCAAGAGTTGTACAAAGGCTACAAGAACGTTTGCGAACATTTTCCGAAAATTTCCGAAGGTTACTGAAGATTTCCCAAGATCATCGAAGACCTCTGAGAAAGATCCGAAGATATTTCGATCATACACCAATACATTTAAGTACAATTTAAGGGTAAGTACTTGAGTCAAACATGAGATCAAAGAACTCATCGATATCTTCAGTAGTAAGGATATCGAAAATACGCCACTCTAGTCCCGGGTGTAGTTTTGTCTAAATTTTACGAGTAAAACACTCGTGTCCATATAATAAAATAATAATAATGAAACAACAACCTACCTCTGGCCAGTAATCAGGATCACGATGGACACAATACGACAGAATATAAACACAGGCTCCAGCAGGGAATTCCACGCCGTTGATTACACAGGTCTCCATGCAATCACGGACATTAACATAACCAACCGTGCACAAACGGAGAACCTCGGAGACAACTCGGTCAAGGTACTCAAGGCTCTGAACAAACTCGTAGATTGAAACATCACCGCGCGACTTTGTAGCGTCGTCAATTTCACGCAGAAGTCTCTCTTGTATCTCAGGGTAATAAGCGAGATGGTATGCAATAAGAGCCAGTGTAGACCCGGTTGTTTCACTGCCCGCCACCAAGAAGGTGATGCACTGAGCTATAATTTCTTCATCTGTCAGTGTTTTGACTTCGTTGTTGCTCTCTTCTGTGGCCTCTAACATGAGCTGAACAAGATCTCTCCGTCCCACCGAGCCACTGCGTCTGAGTTCTAGAATACCTCTAGCCAGTTTCGCGAAGTACGGAACATGCTGAATTGGATTTAAGTCGAAGATCTTTTTCAGGTGGCGATAGAAAGGAAACATGGTCAGAGCTCGGATGTACACGGGTACTATGAACACGCTCAATGCCTTTTTCACAAGGTCTGGATCCGCCGGGTTGGTTTGGACATCTGCTTTAAGACCAAAACCAGCCGATAGGATTATATCAAGAGTGAACTGACCAAAGGGTGTGCTGACGTCGACACTTTTCTCTGAAACATATAGAAAAAAACATCACGTTAATTAATTTACTTATTACATGATTGAGAAAATTATTCTATAGTCCCCGGCAAGATGGTAACAATCACGCCAGACTTTGAACAAAAAATGAAATTTGTCATTATCGGCATTAATCAGCTCTTATCAATCAAGCTGTAGGTCTGTATGGGAGAATCTTGACCGAGGTCGTGAGTACAGACCTCACTGCGTTCGGTCT